GGGCTGGCTGGCATGTGGTGCTGGGGGATTGAACCGTGGTCCTTGGGCTTTGCTTAAGCTTAACTTGTTCTAAGTGGGTGCTTTAGACCACTGAGCCATCTCACCAGCCCAGATATTCTTATTCTTACAACACAGGTTTAACAATCCTTAAGAAAGACAGTATTAAGTCTGTCAACATTATATTGCATTAGAATCATAACATTTCATCCCAGCCCTTCGAAGAGTCATGCACAACATTTTATTCAAAAGGCATTTAGTCCATCTTCAAGATTTGCCAAAGTTCTGACAGTTTTGGTGTTCCTGAAAAGTCTTAAGTCCCAAGTATTTCTGAGATGTAAGGCAAACTCTTAGAAGCAAGCCCCTGTACAAATGAAAAGTTAAATACTTCCAACATTAAATGGCATAAAATAAACATTTTCATTCCAAAAGTTACAAATGGGAATACAAAAGAATAAGACCAAAGTAAGTTCAAAATTCAGCAGGGCAAATATTAAGTCCTGTAGTTTCAAGTCCAGCATCTAAAGCAATCTGTGGCAAATTGTGAGCTACATGTGGTTCTACCTCTATAGCACTCTTGGCCATAGCTCACACAGCTTCTCTCTTGGGCCTGCTTTGTTCTCTCCTTGCAGTTTTTCTTAGATGATCCACATTCCTGGTTTTCTAAACTTCTGGGGTCTTTTAGGATTCTCACTCGCAGCTTCACACACTGCCCTCTCAGGGGCACACTGCCTGCCCTCCCAGGCCTTTTATGAAATCTACGTGAAAGGCTTCTTAACCTTAGAACTCTTGCATTCTGCATGTACCTACAATCACATGGATGATGCCAGGGTACGCTGCCAGCTGCAGCAGTAGCCAGGTTTTCTTCTTTCTTGGTTGTAGGGGTTGAGTGCCTAGATTGCTGAGTATTCTGAATCTGATCTTGAGGAGGCTTGCTGCTTCTTTATTTAATTTAATTTTTAAATAATTTTATTGAGAAACAAATAGCAATGAGACATTTTCACCACCGATCACTAGCACATTTTCAATAATTAATACATTGCATATTGTTGTCTTAGTGGTTATTCATTATAAAAGATGCAGACATGATATCTTGCCTCAAACACTATTAGAACAAATCTCTCTATTCATTGAATTAAGAGAATGGAGCTGTATATCCATCCTATTTTGAGTATACAGATACAAAATGGTTGTTCATTTCTATCCCACTTTTTTGGTTAATTTTGTCAGGGAAGGGCATTCCGTTGTCGTTTAAATACTGTAGGTGCATGAATTCAGCAAAATATCCCAATATAGTCCAGTAGTCCATGATAGTAGTGGGTTTTCCATAAGACTGGCAGTGTATGAAGTTGTTGACTTGAGCCTTTTACAGCTCAGCATGTTTATATGGCTTTACTTTTTATACTTCGTTTTCATACTTTTCTGCTGGATGGTTAAGACCAAGATAAAGCACGACCTATATAACAAGAAATGTAACTGTTGTATTTAATAAGGTCAGTCAAATCCCCTCAGGATTTAACCTGAAACCCTGTACCGCAGTTTGTAGATCTTTTGTCAGTGTCAGCCATGTGGATGAGTCACGGCCATTGCTTGACCAGTTTGTTCTCTGTGAAAGCCCGAATGTTTTCTCTCTATGTGGCTCTCCTGAGGCACACTTTACATCATCAATCACTTTCCCTTGTGGCCCCATAATCTCCTTGATCAGAAAATTTGGGACACAACTGAGTTACAGGATGTTACAGTACAGGTTATCCTATGTTCTGAGTCCTCACTGACCTTGGAAGGCTAGGGCCAAAATGTTGGCTGTCTTGCAACCCTTCTTTTTCTCAAAATTTTGGTCTGCAAACCTAGGTTGTTAACCCTCCAGAAGAGAGGCTTATTATTGTTACCCTACAACATAGGCAGTTGAGCTTAACCTCACTATCTGTGTGGATATCAAACATCTTAGACATAACATGGAACAGGTATTTTCCATCAGGTATTGATATGCTAAACTTTGAGTCTCTCCAGAATATGAACAAAAAAGATTAAAAAGATAAAAATATTAAAAAAAATAAGAATAAGCATTTATATATTTTTACATAGTAATTTAGAAATCTAACAATATACAGCCTTGTAGCAGGACAGTCCTGTGACACTTTTTTTGGTCTCTTGAATTCATTTATTACTCTTTTTCTTAAACAAACATTTACTTGAGGGACAGTATGGCAGGAATTGGTATGTCATGACAAGCAGTACATAATTAAAAGACCAGAATGACAGGCATTTCAAGCATGTGCCTACCATTACACATTGCTATCCTCAGTGCAGTTGCTTAGTTCACAGGTATCAGTATATATAGTTAGTCAGGGAGATAGTCCTACCAATTAACTGCTAGTTTCAAAAACATGCTGAAGATTCTCAGGACCATTGCCTTTGGATACATGACAGGGGCAAAGTCATACATTTATATGCACAAGATGGGAAAGGCAATGACTTGCTGCTTCCTATGATGTCTTCAGGCCATCTTTTTCTTCTTTTTTTCTTTCTTTGGCAGAACCGGGGATTGAACTTAGGCCCTTGCACTTTCCAGGGAAGCATTTATTTTACTGAGCCATCTCCCTGGCCCCCATCTTTTCTACTCTCCTGTTTCTTCTCAACAATAGAGTTCTCTTCAGCTCTATCTTTGCAGTCCATCATAGCTTTACTGGAGCTTTCTGTCTAGGCAAACTCATATTTTAAATCATTCTGTTGGGCTCTTTGCTCTTGATTCTCAACATAGATCTGGCTAAAAGCCCCCAACAGTAGCCATGCTATAGCCTCAACATTTAACTGCCTTGAAATTTCTTTTGCCAGATTAATTAGTCCACCACCCTTAATCTCAGTCTCAGGTAAAGTCTCTGGACAGGAGCAAAATGCAGACACTTTCTGTCAAACTTTAACACACATTGTCTGGAGTCCAACAGCCAATGAATTCCTTCCCAGCAGAAACATCCCATACCTGCACTTTACTGACAGCCTTCTAGTCTTGACCTCTGGCCAGAATCTCCCATACGTAGCAGTGTAAGACTTTTTAGTGTGTCTGCTTCAGGTGACATCTCTGAATCTTTCCAAACTCTTCACACAAGTGATTTCCAAAGGCTTTTGAACCACATGGTCAGGTATAGTCACAGCTACCCCACACCTGGTACCAAATTCTGTCTTACTTTACTCTCCTTGCTGAAACAAAGTACCTGACACCCAAATGAAGAAGGAAGGTTTTATTTTTAAAGCTCACAGTTGGTGGAGGCTTTATTCTGTAATCAGCTGGCTCCAAGGCAGGGTGGAGTGGCACAATGGCAACAGTTAAGGCCACAGAAGACAGTAAAAGCAGCAAGAGTAAAGGAGGGGGGGCTCTTTTTTCCTGTTATGTTGTATATCTGCTAACTGCCATGCCCACACCATCTCCATGCCCTCCTCTTCCACAAGCTGAGAATGTTTATAAAGTAAGGACCCTGGCTCCCTGCTGAATGACTTAAACTTTTGAACTTCTCAAGTTGGCACAATAAACAACATCCTAGAGTGGTAAGGGCATGTCCTTCACAACCCAGGACGCAAAACTGCCGAATTACTTAGTAAAGCTTCTAGATTACCTAAGTTCACATACTATATCAACCATAACACCTGTATAAGAGATCTTTGCGAAAGGCAAGGTCATTAAGATTTTCTCGTAAGCTTTCTTAGAAAATAACTCAAAGGCTCCAAATGTAAGGATTTGACAAGGCTCAGGAACTCCTAATTACCCTGATTTGATTAGTACATGCTGTGTGCGTCTGTTGAGATATCACATGATACCCCATTAATATATGTAATTATTATATGCTAATAAAAATTTACAAACCCAAATGTGCTTTATAGATTGAGATTTTAGATTTATGTTTGCAATCTATTTTGAATTAGTTCTAATATGTGTGCTCCTTACAGAGCTTGTTTAACGTTTCCTCTGACAATATTATATCAAAACTTCTAAGTTGCTAAGTTAATGCTTGGAGTTTCATTTAATTTTAACTACGCTTATATGTATGTGTATGCACGTACTTATCCATTTATTCCTATGGAGTTGCAAATGAAAATGAAGGAGGTGTTGAGATTAGTTTGTGTTGATCTGAGCATGAAGAAAAGGCTAAACTCTAAATGAATGGCATAACCAATGTATGGAAATAGTAACTAATCTCTAGATCGGCTAGTTTGCTGGTTTGCATTGGTACTTTGTCAACAAGAAGGCTCCTCTTCCTCACCTGTCATCTTTGCCTCTTAGCAAGTATGAGAGATACTTCGTTTACCACAGTAGGCGGACAATGTACAGTGCTCTGGTACTGCTGCCTAGAAACTCATCTGCTGAGGGGGCAGTCATGGTCTCATGTAGACAGTCGGAGACATTGATTCTGTATGCTCTTGGCTCTCCACTCCAACCATCTGTACACATGTTGACATTGAGAGATGGGTGTTTACTCTGCAGGGCAGAAATATTTTGCACAATGAAAGCCCAGGAAGGTTTGTATCACACAGTTAAAACTAGTGAGAGAGGGGGCCTCAAGGGCCAAATTCATGTCTGTTGCCTGCATTCTCTACACTTGGGAAAATGATGCTGGATTCCCCCTGGCTGGAACAAATATTGGTAGGCTGCTGTCATCATGTGGTTTCCATGCTGGTGCCCCCACTGGCCTTGAGACCTGTAGGCCACACTGTGTCTGCCAAGATCAGCACTTCATGGTTTCTGTGCAAGGTTAACCAAACTTAAGTTGCTGCGTGGCTCTGTTATTTTCAATATTTTAGAGGGACAGTTCCTTTAATATGACTTTACTGACCGTCCATGGATGCTGGGCCTCAGACTTCTGCCAAATCTGATCTAAGTTGTTCTTTTTTTTTCTATCCAGTGGAGGCCATAGTGGAGTTTGACTACCAGGCCCAGCACGACGATGAGCTGACAATCAGCGTGGGTGAGGTCATCACCAACATCAGGAAGGAGGATGGAGGATGGTGGGAGGGACAGATCAACGGCAGGAGAGGTTTGTTCCCTGACAACTTTGTAAGAGTGAGTACAAAGCAAAACCCTTTTCCTGTCTCCTGTGTGGGGTGTGCTGAGCAAAGACTGTGGGGCACTTGAGGATGAACTGATGGGTATGGGGGCTGTGTTGAAAGCTTGATCTCCTAGGTGATATCAAGAAGAGTACATGCAGTTTTGCTCTTGACATCTGGAATACCTGTTTTGAAATGGCTTTTTAAAGGCCCAGAGTGCTAGCTTCCTAAACTCTGTGTCCCTTAGAAAAAGGCTTGAAGAATAGGAAGCTTGTTAAATTGTTTGATTTATGTACTTGTTTATTTGCTTCAAGAACATAAAAGAATTCTTCCCTTTTCTATTCCATGCAAAATAGAGGTGAAACTTAGTTTAGACCACTTATCTGAAGTGGCAATCAGTCTAAGTGCAGAATCTGAATTGTGTGATTTTTCCATCTTTGTATGTGTATTGCCTTTTTGACAGGAGCAATATTATTTTCCTCTACCTCATTAGGTCCATAAAGCATTGAACAAAATCTATTTGTTCAGTAAGGTTTTGAAAATTATACCCTTTGCAGAAGTCATCTAGGGCTTAATTACAAAAATGTAGCCCATTCACTTTAATAAATTACATATGGCACAGTTGTAAATGCTAGTTTGAATTGTGTTAAAAAAAGGATCACCTAGAGACTGTTTCTCATGGGAAATACTAACTAGGTCTAAAAGTCCCAGTGCCATATGATTTTTATCCAACATGCAAGAACTAATTGTCCTTGGTAGGAAGATCTGCGGGCAGAAATCTCTAAGTCCTTTGTGGTATCAGACCATACTTAGGAACATGCCTGGCTTGCGGGGTCAGGTAGTATGAGGGATCTTGGTTCCAGAGAAGCAGGTAGCCCCCTCAAAGGAGCAACAAGGGCTGGGTGGGAGGGTTTTTTGATAAAGGGTGTTGTTGAAAAATATGTGACCAGTCCCCAGCTTCCAGCTCTTGGGCCTTCTTGCTCTATCCTGTGAGACTTTTAAATCAGTAGGAATCTAGTTCAGTCTTTTCTTCAGGATCTTGCTACAGTTTCTTTTGTTTTTTGGTGTTCAGAAAAGTAAGAGTTTTGTTGGTGACACACTGGTAAACATTGCTTTCTGTAGTAGAAGGCATATAGCCCCCCACCCCCACCCCAAACTGTACTCGAATCAGTTCTCTAATTTCATGAGTAGGAAAGAATTACATCCTAGCCACCAGGGATTGACTCTGTTGATTTGTAAATGGGAGATATTTTTTTTTTTTTTGCCTTTCCAAACAAAACCTCCAGTTTTGGGAAAGGACTGTCTCTGAAGTTGAGCCAAATTCTACTGTAAAAGGAAGATTTTTCCAAACAAAAGGGGCAATTGTTGGAGTGAAGATGAATGAGAAAGGAAGGGTAAGAGGATTGTGGGAAAGAGAGAAGAGGACACTGGGAAGAAGAAGGGGGCTGTGGGAAAGAGAAGAGTGTAAGAAAGAGAAAGGCTAAGTCTGTGATGAAGGGTCTGCAGCAAGGGCTCTAGTTTTGAGAGCAGGCCTTCTTCTGAATTTCTTGAATGTGTCCTGTTGGCTCCCTATTTCAGACCACAAATCTACAGAATCCAAGAGCTGAATTGTAAAGCACTTATAAAACCCAGAAATGGTTTCAGTTCAAGGCTGGTGTACTACAAGGAATTGTGGAAGTTGGGAGGACAGTGACACGAAGGATTATGTCTCTGGCTTCCTGCCTGTGGGCTTGCCTCCAGCTGTGTCTCTGTTACTTTTCTCTCATTGCTGGGACAAAATACCCGACACCCAAAATGAAGGAAGGAAAGGTTTATTTAGCTTCCATTTTGTGGAGGTGTCAGTCCACAATCAGCTGGCTACAAGGCAGAGTGGCACATGGCAGAGGGCAGCAGTTCATGGTGGAGAAAACAGCAGAACAGCAAAAGCAAAGACAGGAGCAACGAGCAAGCCTCTCTCCCTTCCTTATCTTGTAATCAGGCTGTTCACTCCAGGGCATGTGTAGCGCTCACTTCCATAATCCTAGCATTGGGCCATGAGTCAGTCACACTCAAGAAGTGTGCCCCATGACTGCATGAGGATTTGGGGGGATGACTAGACACAAATCACAACAGGCTGCTGCCTGTGTCCTTCACCAGAAAGGTGGCTGTCCCCATCTAGTCCGCTTTCTGCTATGCTTCCTTTCATCTTCTCAGGTTATGGGTCTTTTTTGTCTCTAATCTTTGGATGTTGCCTAGGGTTTCTCTCAGTCACTTTAGAAAAGTCTCTTTATTAATCCTACCTCAGCTTATTCCAGTGTCAAAATGCTGTTTCCTTTTTAGAGCCAACTACCTCATCAGCTGCTCTGAGGTTTAAACAGCAGAGTACTATTGGCAGTTTCTTAGCACAGCGGTGGCCACCTGGTTGTGGTATGCCATTGATCCTCTCCTCAGGGCCCAGCTCCCTCTGCTCCTGCCATATCTGTTGTCAGCCTACCTTGGCCTGAGCCCTTGTCCCATGGAGAGACAGCCATGCTTTTGGTGGGTGGTTGTTCCACTGAGGATAGAGAGGATGTGGCAGGAACATCTGGGACTTCACTACTTGTGGTTGTTGCATTTGGCAGAGAAAGAAACTTCGATTCTTTCAGATGGCTGAGTCTATTTTCAAGTCTCCATCCTTAGGTCTATTATTGAAAATTCAGTAGGTGGATACAGTGGAGATAGCAATAACCAGAACTCCTGAGATTTCTAAAAGCAGAAAATGTGTCTTTGAGTAACAACAGATATGTTGGCATAGGTTTACCTTTGAAAGTGGCTGTGTGTATGTTTTATTTAGTTTGAGAATAACTTGTCGATGGATTGAATCAGACAGTTTTGTGGAATCCTGTCATTTATTGGTGTGCCTTTATGTTGATGTCATTACTGTTAGAGAGCCTGGCTTACGTATTTTGTTAATTTATTTATCAGACCCTTACTCAGTGTCCACTTGAGTGTACATGCCTGAAGTGTTAGCATTCACTGTCCACCTGAATTTGTCTTGGTTGTATCTTGGTCTCTTTAGGCAAGAATACTAGCTAGCTTTGAGCACCAGGCCATCCTGTTACATGATGCGTTCTTTGTCAGCTCTTGTGGTTCTGTCCCTTCTTTTAGTCCTGATTTATTTACTCTGTGGCAGAAGACTTTTCCTTTCATGTTTTTCCTATACCTCTTTCCTACCTGCTTTGGGAATATGTCTTCCTTTTTTTCTTTTCATTTTTAAAAAATGTATTTAGTACAGGGTCTCACTGCGCAGCTTGGACTTATAGTGATCCTCCTGTTTTCAGCCTCCCAAGTGCTGGGATTCCAGGTGTGTATCACCACACCTGAACTCGGTGGCCGGTTCCAGGTGTGTATCACCACACCTGAACTCAGCATGCCCGGGGGTGGGGCCGGTGCAGCATGTGGTACTAGGGCCAGAACCCTGGTTCCTGTGCTTGCCTAAGCAGGTGCTTAGTCGGCTGAGCTATGTCACCAGCACATGCTTTCCTTTATTTCTTTTCTTTTTAATTTTCATTTCAAGGTGAAATTTACCTAAAATGTGTAAGTCAGTAGTATGCGTGATGATCATTGTCCCATAAAAGCATTCCTCCGTAACTACTGTCCACATCAGTACTGTTGCTGTCTGTCAGAAAGTTCCACCCTATCCTATTTTTTTTTTTTTTTTTTTTTTTTTTTTTTTTTTTTTTTTTTTTTGCGGAGCCAGGGATTGAACTCAGACCCTTGCGCTAACCAGGGAAGCGCTTATTCTACTGAGCCGTCTCCCCGGCCCCTACCCTATCCTTTTTCAGTCATTCCTCTTCCTAGGTAATCAAGCTCATAGATTCATATTTCTTGCACTTGCCTTTCATGTAAATGGAGTCACACAATATGTAATTTTTCCCAAAGGTGGTATTATTATTATTATTTGGATTTTTGAGACAGGGTCTTGCTATGTAGTTCAGGCTGGCACTGAACTCATAGAGATCCTCCTGCCTCAGCCTCTTGAGTGCTGGGAACAATATGCATTTTTAATAGATGGCTTTTTCTTTTTTAAAAAAATTATTTCTTTATTTGGTACAAGGTCTGTCTACACATCTTGGATTAGTAGTGATCCTCCTGTCTCAGCCTCCACAGTGCTGGGATTATAGGCGTGTTCCATCACACCTAGTTTTGGTGGCTGGCACAGCATACAGTGACAGGGATTGAACCCGGGTCCTTGTGCTTGCCAGGCAGGCATTTAGACCACTGAGCTATCTTCCCAGCCCTACATGGCTCCTTTTGTGAAATAAAATATTGTTGCATATGTCAGTACTTTGTTCTTTTTGTATAGTATCCCACATAATGCATATGCCATTATGTTCTTGTCCATTTTCCTGTTGATGGGTATCTGGGTTGTTTTAATTTGGGGATTTTATAAAGATTCTGAATATTCCTGTGTGTCTTCTATGGTTATGTGCACGCATTTCTCATGTATATATATCTACTACCGGACTAGAACTGTGACCTCACCTTCAATCAAGGGTCTTTCTCTGTACAACGCTGTGGTCTCTATGAGGGGAAGGTGTCAATTTATGCTTGAATCTCTTGGATCCCATGAGCCACCTGAACTAATCACCCATAATCTTGGTGTCAGAGTAGCTGGCCTGTGCACATGGCCGGTGAAAAGTGTTGGCGCATAGAACTCAGTCTTGCAGGGACGACTGGATTGTTGAGCCCTGGAACTGTAGTGACTAATTCTTTTTTTTTTCTCTCTAGTCAAGGGAGGGAAATTTTATTCAGGCCCCAAGGCTGCAGGCCTTGGGCAGGTGGTGCCCTTCTGGACGAGGGGCTGACTGAGCTTTATTTGACCTTCTTCTCGGGGTGCAGGTTGTTGGTGTGGCCACACTTCTTCTTGCGGCAGTTGACAGCATGGGGGTGCAGGCGGGCATAACACTTGTGGCAGATCATCTTGTCACAGTTGTACTTTTGGGCAAGCTGGCGCAGGGATGGCTCGATGATCCCACCTCGCAGGCGAAGCACCAG